GCGACCCTGGGCAGTGACGTGCTGGCTTCATGCAGCTGCTCTGCCCAGCCCCTCTGACGGCTCCTCCAGACCTCAGGCTCTGCCTCCTCTTTGTTTTTACACTTTTTTTTTTTTTTTAAACAGAGTCCCATTCTTGTTGCCCAGGATGGAGTGCAGTGGCGTGATCTCAGCTCACTGCAACCTCTGCATCCCGGGTTCAAGTGATTCTCATGCCTCAGTTTCCTGAGTAGCTGGGACTACAGGCCGGTGCCACCACCCCTGGTGAGTTTTTGTATTTTTTGATAGAAACGGGGTTTCATCATGTTGGTCAGGCTGGTCTTCAACTCCTGACCTCAAGTGATCCTCCCACCTCAACCTCACAAAGTGCTGGGATTCAGACGTGAGCCACCGAGCCCGGCCTGGTTTTTCACTTAACTTTTAATTTCAGCCTAATTTCAGACTTATCAAGAAATTGCAAGAATAATACAAAGAATCTCCACATGCTCTTTCCCCAGACTCTCCAGATGTTCAGAATTTTCCATATTTGCTTTATTATTTTCTCTCAATGTGTCTATTTTTCTATTACTTTGCCCCGGAATCGTGAGAGTAGGTTGCAATGTCCCTTCCTCCTAAATACTCCAGTGTGTGTGTGTTTTAATAGACATTTTCTTTTTTTAAAATATATATATTTTATTGCATTTTAGGTTCTGGGGTACATGTAAAGAACATGCAGGACTGTTGCATAGGTACATACATGGCAATGTGGTTTGCTGCCTTCCTCCCCATCACTTATATCTGGCATTTCTCCCCATGTTATCCCTCCCCAACTCACCACCCCCCACTGTCCCTCCCCTAGTTCCCCCCACAGATGCCAGTGTGTGATGCTCCCCTCCCTGTGTCCATGTGTTCTCATTACTCAACCCCCACCTATGAGTGAGAACATGCGGTGTTTGATTTTCTGTCCTGTGTCAGTTTGCTGAGAATGATGGTTTCCAGGTTCATCCATGTCCCTACAAAGGACAGCAACTCATAGTTTTTTATGACTGCATAGTATTCCGTGGTGTATATGTGCCACATTTTCCCTGTCCATCTATCATCAATGGGCACTTGGGTTGGTCCAAGTCTTTGCTATTGTAAACAGTGCTGCAATGACATATGTGTGCATGTGTCCTTATAATACAATGATTTATAGTCCTTTGGATATATACCCAGTAATGGGATTGCTGGGTCAAATGGAATTTCTATTTCTAGGTCCTTAAGGAATCGCCACACTGTCTTCCACAATGGTTAAACTAGTTTACACTCCCACCAACAGTGTAAAAGTGTTCCTATTTCTTCACATCCTCTCCAGCATCTGTTGTCTCCAGATTTTTTAATGATCGCCATTCTAACTGGCACAAGATGGTATCTCAATGTGGTTTTGATTTGCATGTCTCTAATGACCAGTGATGATGAGCATTTTTTCATATGTTTGTTGGCCTCATATTCCTCTTCTTTTGAAAAGTATCTTTTCATGTCCTTTGCCCACTTTTGAATGGGTTTGTATGTTTTTTTTCTTGTAAATCTGTTTTAGTTCTTTGTAGATTTTGGATATAAGTCAGATGGGTAGAATCCAAAATTTTTTTCCCATTCTGTTGGTTGCTGATTCACTCTAATGATTGTTTCTTTTGCTGTGCAGAAGCTCTGGAGTTTAATTAGGTCCCATTTGTCTATTTTGACTTTTGTTGCCAATGCTTTTGGTGTTTTAGTCATGAAGTCCTTGCCTATGCCTATGTCCTGAATGGTTTTGCCTAGGTTTTCTTCTAAGGTTTTTATGGTGTTAGGTCTTATGTTTAAGTCTTTAATCCATCTGGAGTTAATTTTAGTGTAAGGTGTCAGGAACGGGTCCAGTTTCTGCTTTCTGCACATGGCTAGCCAGTTTTCCCAACACCATTTATTAAACAGGGAATCCTTTCCCAATTGCTTGTTTTGTCAGGTATGTAAAAGATCAGATGGTTGTAGATGTGTGGCGTTGCCTCCGAGGCCTCTGTTCTGTTCCATTGGTCTAGATCTCTGTTTTGGTACCAGTACCATGCTGGTTTGATTACTGTAGCCTTGTAGTATAGTTTGAAGTCAGGTAGCGTGATGCCTCCAGCTTTGTTCTTTTTGGTTAGAATTGACTTGGCTATGTGGGCTCTCTTTTGGTTCCATATGAAGTTTCAGGTTGTTTTTTCCAGTTCTGTGAAGGTCATTGGTAGCTTGATGGGGATAGCATTGAATCTATAAATTACTTTGGGCAGTAGGGCCATTTTTATGATATTGATTCTTCCTAACCATGAGCATGGAATGTTTCTACATCTGTTTGTGTCCTCTTATTTTGTTGAGCAGTGGTTTGTAGTTCTCCTTGAAGAGGTCCTTTAGATCCTTTGTTAGTTGTATTCCTAGGTATTTTATTCTCTTTGAAGCAATTGTGAATGGCAGTTCCTTCCTGATTTGGCTCTCTTTAAGTCTGTTATTGGTATATAGAAATGCGTGTGATTTTTGCACACTGATTTTGTATCCTGAGACTTTGCTGAAGTTGCTTATCAGTTTAAGGAGATTTTGGGCTGAGGCAATAGGGTCTTCTAAATATACAATCATGTGGTCTGCAAATAGAGACAATTTGACTTCCTCCTTTCCTAATTGAATACCCTTTATTTCTTTTTCTTACCTGATTGCCCTGTCCAGAACTTCCAATACTATATTGAATAAGAATGGAGAGAGGGTATCCTTGTCTAGTGCCAGATTTCAAATGGAGTGCTCCCAGTTTTTCCTCATTCAGTATGATATTGGCTGTGGGTTTGTTATAAATAGCTTTTATTATTTTGAGATACGTTCCATCGATACCTAGTTTATTGAGAGTTTTTAGCGTAAAGCGCTGTTGAATTTTGTCGAAGGCCTTCTCTGCATCTATTGAGATAATCATGTGGTTTTTGTCTTTGGTTCTGTCTGTGTGGTGAATTACATTTATAGACTTGCATATGTTGAACCAGCCTTGCGTCCCTGGGATGAAGCCTACTTGATTGTAATAGATAAGCTTTTTGATGTGTTGTTGCCATCGGTTTGCCAGTATTTTATTGCAGATTTTTGCGACTATGTTCATCATGGATATTGGCCTGAAGTTTTCTTTTCTTGTTGAGTCTCTGCCGAGTTTTGGTATCAGTATGATGTTGGTTTCATAAAATGATTTGGGGAGGATTCCCTCTTTTTGGATTGTTTGGAATCATTTCAGAAGGAATGGTACCAGCTCCTCCTTGTATGTAATAAAGACATTTTCTTACATAACCGCGGTACACTTATTATTAATTGTATCAATTGATATTGATACAATTCTACTGGATAATCAACAGAATTTATTCAGATTTTGCAAATGGTTCCAATAATACCTTCTAAGGCAAAAGACAATTTGTTCAATAGGCTGCGTTTAATTCTCATCTCTTTATTCTCCTTGAATCTGGAATGATTTCTCAGATTTCTTTCTCCTTCCTGACACTGACCTTTTTGAAGCATAGAAGCAGTTATGCTATAAAACGTCCCTCATCTGGGTCGTCTGATGGTTCTTCGTGATTCGATTAAGTCACGCCTCTTTGGCAGGAATATTACAGAAACAACTTTTGGCCTTCGCAGTGAACCACCTCAGGAGGCGTGTGGGCTCAGCCTGCCCCTCTCCGGCAGCCTAACTCGCTTGGCCAAGGTGTTGTCCGCTAGATTTCTCCGCTCTGAAGATAATTTCCTCCTTTGTAATTAACATGTACCTTGTGGGAAGATTCTTTGAGAATATGTAAATATCTTGCTCTTCCTCAAACCTTTGCCCACTAGTTGTAACATTATTGTTGATTCTCACCGGAACCAGTTATTAAAAGGATGATTGCCTGGGGTGATGTTATAATTCCGTCCTTCCTTCTGCATTTAAAGCTGCTGACTCGGCTCTCTTTGCTGCCTCAAGGAGAGGGAGGCAGGTGGCTCGATACTTGGCAGGCTGGTACTAACGAGGCCAAGGACTGAGCTCACCTTCCATTGAGCCCTGGTGGCTGCTGTCTTTCATTCACCCTGACTCAGATACTGGGGGCCAGCAGCTCTCCACACCAGGGCCAGTTCTCCATCTTTACAATTTTGCCATTCATTTGTTGAGCTACTATTAGGTGTTGGGCACTTTTTTCAGCCGCTGAGGATATGGAACAAAGTCCCAGTCTTCAGGGAGCTTCTATTGTAATGAGGAAAATAGACCAAAAAAGTAAACCCATTTTTAAAATAGTATTTCAGGGCTGGGCGCAGTGGCTCACGCCTGTAATCCCAGAACGCTGGGGAGCCGAGGCTGGTGGATCACGAGGTCAGGAGATCGAGACCAGTCTGGCCAACATGGTGAAACCCTCCTCTCTACTAAAAGCACAAAAAATAGCCAGGCGTGGTGGTTTATGCCTGTAATCCCAGCTACTCGGGAGGCAGAGGCAGGAGAATCGCTTCAACCCGAGAGGCAGATGTTGCAGTGAGTGGAGATCTCACCACTGCACTCCACCCTGGGCAGCAGAGCGTGACTCCATCTCAAAAAAATATATACGTATAGTATCATTTCAGAGAGGGATATGTGCACCAAGGAAAATCAGGCAAAGTAAGGGGACTGATGGCAGTTGCAATGAAGAATGAGGCAGAGCCTCCAAGGGGATTTGAGCAGAGGCCAGGGGATTTGATGAGATGAGCTGGGAGTGCTGAGATCAGGGAGAGGACATTCCAGGCAGAGGGAGGAGCAAGGGCCGAGTCCCTGAGGCAGGAATCAGATTGATTTCAGACAGTTGGGAGATGGATTTCAGATGAAGGAGATGGAGTTGGAGAGGGTGGCCCGGCTTGAGGACATAGATGATAGGTTTTGGAATTAATCCAAGGACAATGGGAGCTCATCAAAGAGTTTTAGGTATAGAAGGATGTGATTTTATTTGCCCCTTATGCATATACAATTACTTAACAATTTTTTACATCAACTCCTGTTTTAATTCTTTTTTGAAACAGAAATAATGGAACGCTTCATGAATTCATGCGTCATACTTGCACAGAGCTCGTGCTAATCTTCTCGGAATCATTCCAGTTTTAGTACATGTGCTGCTGAAGCTTGCATCCAGTCCTTTTTTTTTTTTTGAGACTGAGTTTCACTCTTGTCGCCCAGGCTGGAGTGCAATGGCATCATCTTGGCTCACTGCAACCTCAGCCACCCAGGTTCAAGTGATTCTCCTGCCTCAGCCTCCAGAGTAGTTGGGATTATATGCATGTACCTCCATGCCCAGCTAATTTTTGTATTTTTAGTAGAGACAGGGTTTCGCCATGTTAGTCAGGCTGGTCTCAAACTCCTGACCTCAGGTGATCCACACCCCTTCAGCCTCCCAAAGTGCTGGGATTACAGGCATGAACCACTGCACCCAGCCACCCACTCCTTTTTTAAACCTAAGTTTATTTGAACTTAGAAATCTTCTATCACTACCACGTATCTCAAACCAATACTGCTTTAGTAAATAGAATATATCTATATAAACAAATAAAACGGCAAAAACAAAAATGTCATTAAATAGCCTGCTGTCCAAGCCTGAACTGGCTCTCTCTTCATTAAAAAGCATTAGGTGACCAGGCACGGTGGCTGATGCCTGTCGTGCTGGCACTTTGGGAGGCCAGGGCAGGCACGTTGCTTGAATCCAAGAGTTCAAGAGCAGCCTGGGCAACATTGCAAGTCTCCATCTCTGCAAAAATAAAATGTTTTATAAAGAGTTAGGTGTTAAAGACTGAGTGGCACCGCAATGAGACTTTCTCCTTAATGCAATCAGGAGCGAAACATTGGAAAAGGAATGATTCGTTTACTGCGGTATTCAATTCCATTTCGTCTCATATCTTAAATTGTCTTTCGGTCTCAGACCTGATTTGAGAAGCATTTTGCTAACTGGTGGAAAGATTTGATGGGCCCAGCCCACCCATTTAACCATGGAGAAACTGAGGCCTTGGAACAGGGTAAGGACTTACCCAAGGTCATGACAATTTCTTCCTTTGTAATTGATCTCCATTCTACTCACTCTGTGTCCCTCCCACCCAATGCTAGCTGAAAATTCAGATGTGATGTAAACATTAGTCATCCTTATTGTAAAAAACGTTCTAACAACCACATTAGAAGGAATGCAAAGAGAGAAAAGAAGTCTCAGCCCGCACCTTCACACGACACGGCTGTTGGTTCTTGAAGGAGGAAGTTTTTGAGTCTGCGGCACATCATGGGCCTTCGGTCTCACCCGCAGGAAGGTGGGTGTGCTGATGGGCGCCGGGCTGGCGTTGATCCACGCTTGTCAGGTGACTCTGAGACCAGCCTTGACTCCAGGCTCCGCCACGCCCACCGTGACCTTGGGCAGGTTCCCAAACCTCTCTGAGGTAAAATGGGTGCGGCCATATGTCACTCTTCAGCTTTTGCTCTCTAGGTAGATGCTAAAGCCTTCCCTGAAGATCTCTGTGGAACTTTTAGTCACTTGCATCTGTGGGGGGGGGGGGGGCTGCCTCAGCCTTAGCCATGTCAACACAACCTTGAAATTCAGTTCCGAGAAGCACTCTAGACCCCGTGGCATCTCGAAGTGAAAGAGGAACCCATCTCTGCCTCTCGTGGGCTCCTTACCCCCTAATCCGGAATACTGCAGCAGCTCTTCTCAATTCCCGCACCTGTGGTTGAGTTTACTAGAATTGCTGCAACACACTCAGTGGCATGGGCACATTAAAGTATAGCCTCCACCAGGCGCAGTGGCTCACGCCTGTAATCCCAGCACTTTGGGAGGCCGAGGTGGGTGGATCACCTGAGGTCAAGAGTTTGAGACCAGCCTGGCCAACATGGTGAAGTCCCGTCTCTACTAAAAATACAAAAATTAGCCAGGGGTGGTGGTGGGTGCCTGAAATCTCAGCTACGTGGGAGGGTGAGGCAAGAGAAACGCTTGAACCCGGGCAGAGGAGGTTGCAGTGAGCCGAGATGAAGCCTCTGCACACCAACCTTCTCGACAGAGCAAGACGCCATCTCAAAAACAAAAAAGAAATGTATTGTCTCAAAGTTCTGGAGGCTCAAAGTCCAAGATCCAGGAGTGAGTGGCTCCTTCTGAGGGCTGGGAGGGGAGGTGCTCTCTCCTGAGCTTCTGGTGGCAATCTTGGGCGTTTCTTGACTTGTAGAAACATAGTCCCAGTCTCCGCCTTATCTTAAAATGGTGTTCTCTTTCTGCGGATGTGCCTGTGTTCAAATTTCCCCCTTCTGTGAAGACAGTAGTCATATTGAATTGGGGCCTGCCCTAATGACCTCATGTTAACTTGATTGCCTTGAGAAAGACCCTTTTTCCAAATAAGGTCACATTCTGAGGTACGGGAAATGAGGACTGTTTTAAGAGGAGGGGAACAATTCAACAACTCATAGCAGTGTGTGTAGTGTGTGTACGGTGTGTGTGTGTGTGTGTGTGTGTACAGGTATGTATGTGTGTACCCGTATGCATGTGTGTGTGGTGTGTGTATGGTGTGTGTGTGTGTACAGTATGTATGTGTGTACCTGTATGCATGTGTGTGTGGTGTGTGTATGGTGTGTGTGTGTGTACAGGTATGTATGTGTGTACCCGTATGCATGTGTGTGTGGTGTGTGTATGGTGTGTGTGTGTGTACAGTATGTATGTGTGTACCTGTATGCATGTGTGTGTGGTGTGTGTACGGTGTGTGTACAGTATGTATGTGTGTGTACAGTATGTATGTGTGTACCTGTATGCATGTGTGTGTGGTGTGTGTATGGTGTGTGTGTGTGTACAGTATGTATGTGTGTACCTGTATGCATGTGTGTGTGGTGTGTGTACAGTGTGTGTGTGTGTGTGTGTGTGTACAGGTATGTATGTGTGTACCCGTATGCATGTGTGTGTGGTGTGTGCATGGTGTGTGTGTGTACAGTATGTATGTGTGTACCTGTATGCATGTGTGTGTGGTGTGTGTATGGTGTGTGGGTGTGTACAGGTATGTATGTGTGTACCCGTATGCATGTGTGTGTGGTGTGTGTACAGTGTGTATGTGTGTACCTGTATGCATGTGTGTGGTGTGTGTATGGTGTGTGTGTGTGTACAGTATGTATGTGTACCTGTATGCATGCGTGTGTGATGTGTGTATGGTGGGGTTGAATGGTGGGGAGGGATGGAGAAAGAGGTGGGTCACTGCCTTACTTAACCTCTTCCTCCAGCCCACTCATCCTCTGGGGAGGTGCCAGTTCAATCTCTCACGTCGTTTGGCAAAGACCTGGAAAGAGGTATCTTTCCATCAATTTCTTACTCCTGAGAACTCCTACTCATCCTCTAAAACCCTTCCCAATTGTCCCCTGTTCTTTGGAGTTAGTTATTCCCTACTAACTCTGCTTTTTCCAGAGTACTTTGTTCCAAGCCTGAGGACAGCACTGACATCTGAGTGTAATAAACTACGAATTGTTGCCACAAACTCAGTGGCTCAGGCCTCTTTATCCTCCACCAGGGAATGGGGCCTGGCCCAGAGCTTAGCTGAGAGAATGGAATGAAAGAGTGGCATCTCCCTGACTAAGGGTTAAGCTAGATGGGAATTCAAAAGGACTTTAAGCCACCTCAGAAGCATCATATGTGTGACTTGTGGAGAGGAGTAGAGGACAGTCGTATGGGCTGATAGCTGAGCGTATAGGTCAGATGTGGAGACCCATAGGTCAGATGTGGAAGCCTGGTTCCACCTCTTAGTGGACAAGTCATGGGCAAGTCTGTGGGCAAGTCATTTCATGCTGTGGAGCCTCCGTTTTTCTCATCTGGAAAACTGAGCTTTCACAGGCTCCTCGCGGAGATGAAGAGAGAGAAAGCTGGCAAATGCAGTGGGCATTCGGATGTTACCTCCCTTCAGGGAACCCACGTTTATTTCCTGAATTCAGTGGGACTCTGAGCCACATGGGTCCGTGTGGCCATTGGCCACTGCCAGCCCCAAGCCATTAAGGATACAAGGTAGCCACGAAGCATCAGTCTGAACATCCCCAGTGGCTCCCTCAGCTTCTCTTTCAACCTGGATTTATTTAACGAGAGGAGATGAGGGGTAGATGAGGAGGGGCCATTGTTAGGATGGGCACAGGACATGTGTCTGGTGAGCCTGGCTGCCAGGGCCGGTCCCTGATGCCCCAAGGAGACTTTCCGGTCCCAGCCCGGCCTACACTCCCACCTGCTCTGAAGAGGGTGTGTTTCCTTCCAAGGATGGATATTGATGGTATCTGATGGCTTCTGGATGTCTGATCTCGAGGGGTCCTTATCTTAGGGGGCTTTAGGCCACCCTGGAAAGATCTCAGCCTCAGCCCCTAGAGCGGGGAGGATTTTCACCCCTTGCCCACACACAAGCTTTATTCACCCTAAAACTGGTGCTGCTGCAGGTCTGGAGACCTAGAACTAGGGCCCCTCCTGAGAGCCAGTGGGTGGGGACAGGCCCCCTGGAAAATCACTCACAGCTCAGCAGTTTCAGCCTTCACTCCTCCTCCTCCCAGCCTGCAGAAACCTAGCCCTGCTTTTGCACAGAGGGCCATGCTCTGGGGGATTCTATTCTTGAATGTCTAGCCTGGCCCACCAGCTTCTGGCCCACCTCCAGGCATCCGCTGGAGCTGCGCCCTCCCCTGGATTGCCTTCTTACCTCTTTCCACTTGTTGAGGGTGCCTGAAGAGTAGAAAGAGTGAATCTGGGGAACAAATTCAAATCTGGATTTGAATTCTGGCTCTGTCAATGCCAGGCTCTGTGGCCCTGGGCTGGGAACTTAATTTCTCTGAGCCTCTTTGTCTGTAAAGTGAGTTTCGTAATGGCAGCTCCTCACAGGGCAGTCATGAGGCAATGTCTGCAAAGCACCTGGCACAGGGAAAGTCCTCAGGAATGTGGATCTGCCCCCCTTGCCCCAGCTAAATGCTCCTTGACCTTCGAGTCCTGGCCCAAAGGGCGCCTCTCCTGCAATATACCTTCCAGGATGCACTCGCCAGCCCCCGCCCCACTTACAGAGCAGCCCCCTCCCTCCTCCAGGTTCCTCAAGCAAGTTTCACGCCTCTGCACCTACCTCAGAGAGACAAGATTAGAGTCAGCTCTTTCTTTTTTTTTGGA